GTGTTGTAAGCAGGGCGTGTCCCCCCCCCCCCTCCAGGCACAAATGGGCCGGTACTCACAACAGTTTTTACAACTTCTCCCATTAACCAACATGCAGGTCCTTTGTAGAACGTCGCTCTCATCACATCCTTCATGAAAGAAACTCAGTCTCTCACTAGCTGTCCCGCATAGTGAACTTCTCTACCCAAGGTTTCTCTTATATCCCGTGTCCATCTTCATGCTGATCGACCCCTGTCTCTCTTTTCTAGAACCATGCCTTCTTCTATTATTGTTTCAATCCCAAAGGGCGCTTGATATGGCAAACAAGTTTCTGTTTCCGAGACGAGATGCTGTTTACTATATAATTTCCCTTAATGTCCAGATCTGTTATGATGTCAGTATTTCTCTTGTTCTTTGTCCGTGGTATTCACATCATCTTGCTATAGCGTTGCAGTTCAAAATCCCATATTTCTTCCTTACTGACTGCGAGATAGTCCACGACTCACATCTCTATGTTGCTACAGAGAAGATGCATTTTTTAATTACGACTTTGATTTCCTTCTTCTTTTGTCAAAATCTGCTTGTGCCGCTAGGCGTCGCAGTCAATCAGATGATCGGCAACCGAGCCAGGGCGCGCTCAGTCGCTTCATATGCCGTGATGTTATGAAGTCTCAAGTTGTCCGTGACTCCTTCAATCCATATTCTTCTTGGTCTTCCCCTGCCTCTTGGTGTTTCGATTTTCATGTTGTATGCTCTTGATGCTGGCATCGTTGGTTCCATTCTCATTAGGTGACCAAACCATTTCATTCTTTGTTTCTCAATAAATTTAACGATGGGTATGGTTCCAATAGTTCTTGTAATCACATCGTTTCTCACTCGATCTATTCTGGTTTTATTCGCAGCCATTCTCTTATGTTCTTTTGTTAATGTCCAAGTCTGACATTGATAACCTAATGTCGGTATAAAGATTGTATTTATAATTTGTCTTTTTATCTCAGCTGGGACAGCAGGGTGTTTTAAAATTGGGGCAAGCTGGTATGCGACATTGTTGGCTTGTTGGATTCTTGCTTCGATCTCTCTGTCTATTTTACCATTGAATGTAAAGATACTTCCCAAGTATTTAAATTCTTGCACTTGTTTTAGGCTGTGATCTAGAATCTTTATGTCGATGGTCTGTTGCTCTCGACTTATGCTCATGACTTCTGTCTTTTCAGTATTGATCTTCATATTATGCTTGAGGCAACTGTCGTGTAGTAGGTTTATGTGGTCTTGCAGCTGTTTACTATCACTGTGAAATAGGCATTGATCGTCGGCAAAGAGCAGCTCATTGAAGTTCTCCTGTTTATTGACATCTGTTGGTGTTATGTCTATTTTATTAATATTGTCCATAAATATTATGAAAAGTAAAGGTGATAATACACAACCTTGTCTTACTCCTGATGTTACTGGGAACCAGTCTGTGATGCCAGCTCTTGTTCTAATGGCGCTTTCACTTTGTCTATAGATAGCCCTAACACAATCTAAAATTGTTCCATTTATACCGTAGTTTTCAAGAACTTTCCATAATAAATTTCTGTTTACTCTATCGAAAGCTTTTTCTTGATCTATGAAAGCGATGTTCATTTGATGTCTGTGTTCTATTGTCTTTTCACTAACTTGTCTTAAAGCAAAAATAGCGTCAGTACACCCTCTTCCTTACCTAAATCCGACCTGTGATGAGCTCAGGATCGGTTCTACAACGGATCTTATTCGTTGTTCCAGAATTTTGGCAAACATTTTTCCTACGTGGCTTAGAAGGGAGATGCCTCTGTAACTGTTACAATCTTGCTCATTGCCTTTTCTTTTCCAAAGTGGGACTATAAGGGCTCTTTGCCAGTCTATTGGTACAGTTCTTTCATTCCAGGCTTTCCTAAATATGTGGAGTAGCCAGGTGACTCCAATTTCTTCACAAGCCTGTATTGCCTCGGCTGATATTCCATCAACACCTGATGCCTTATTTTTGGGACTGCATCTGATTTCCTTGCTGGAGCTTAACCATAGACTTTTAATGCTGTTTAATACAAACAATATGCGATAGAAAGCTTGTTGCAAACAAGCAAACAAGAGTTAGCCTTTACAAGAGGAAGGATATGATCAAGAAACAGATGAACAGCAGTGTAAGAGAATGTACAATTCGGGCGAGATATATTTAGTGTTGACAATCCATTGATGCCGATCATAATTATGAAGACATCACTTGATTGATGAAAACGACCAGGAAAATTTAATTCTGTCAATCTAACAGTGCATTGATTTATTTAGGGCACAATATAGACATAAGGGATATATTGCGGATAATATGTTGCTACAGGGAAGATGCATGTTCTCAAAATTTTGTTTGTTTTTCTTGCTGGTGCTTAACTTTAATGTTGTTGTTTTTCTGCTTAATCTTTGCATTGCTATGGCCATCCTCCTGATGACTTTTGTTGATTTTTGTTGAAATCTCCATCTCTGTCTATTATGGAGCCTAGATTTTCAAAGTGTGTGACATTTTCAGTTTCTTCATTGTTATTATTTTTTGGATGACAGGCAGTTTTATTTCCTGCCCATTTCTGTGGGGTGTGGGTTCAAGAGCCACATTTGGGGAGTGGGAGGGGGGGGGGGGAGAATAGATTTACTCTCCCTAATAAGCTTGTCGTTAGAGTCGACTAATTAGTGGTTTCCTTTGAAGTCGGAGGACATCTGGCTGAAAGGTGAGGAACCAACAGTACGTATACGAATAGGCTAGATATGTAAAACAGCTGTGCACGACCAGCTGCGGTTCTATAACAGGACTGCAGCCCAGAAGTAGAAGAACAACCAAAACTTTCCGCTGGAGTTTTCAGCCGTTGAACGTGAAGAAGATTTTTGTTTTGATCGTCACTGTGTTTTTAGACAGACACGATTAAATGTTCTATTCCCTTGACACTGTCGGAAATGAGGTTTGTTTCTTTCAAGTTCTTTGCCAACAACGGTAAGCTGATCCTCACATTCCATATTCTCAAATTTAGTTTTCTGCAGCACAAAGCTGTCCACCTCAGTAAACTCAGTGTAAAAACTCCTCTCCCCTGACTTGCCCTGTCATCGTCCTCTTTCCCAGTTCGTGTCTGTGATCTGCCGGTGCCGGTACTCACTACAAAATATCAATTACAGCAGTGCTGCAAAAATGTCTAAACAAAGGTGTAGGTACTTCGTACCATTCCCATTCTCCCACTCCCTAAAAGTCCTGGCTGTAACAGAGGCACACCCTGAATTAGATTTGGTCCTTACATTTTCCTAAAGACAGCAGCCGATAAACTGCAGTCGCGAGGGTTGGGGGGATCCTAGGGTGTCATCACTGAAATAGGCGGTAGGGAATGATAAAATATGTGTTTATATATATATATATATATATATATATATATATATATATATATATATATATATATATATATATGTGTGTGTGTGTGTGTGTGTGTGTGTGTGTGTGTGTGTGTGTGAGGTGGGGGGAGGGGGCTGGGAAGGGTGAAAGTAAACGTTCTGCACCTCACGTTGCTAGGCGACTCACTGCAGATAACCTCCAGTGAGGCGACTAAACCAGAACAATGAGACACGGAAAGGAGAATATTGGGTTCTTTATTAATATTCTACCAAGATGACGTCAATGACAGTCCAACATTTTAGAGGATGGTGAGACTGGATTTCCCATCTTTCTGATGCTTTTAAGGACCCCAAAACATCTAGAACTTGCCCTAACCCCAACACACCTACGTGCCATGAGAAAGTGCAGCCTAGGTCCCACGAGTACATTCAGCCTAGGTCCACGACTGCATGCAGCCTATATTAGACTGTTTCGTGACCTGTGGATTTTCCCTGTTTAGGGTAGGATATTTGTAACAGGCTGGAAACTTACAGTTCAGCAGCCTGAAGATCTTAGATTTATTCTGGTTTAAAACTGACCAACAGGCCAAATAAACAACTTTTAGAGTTAGACGATAACGCGGAAAAAGTCTAGCCCACTGGGTAAAAAAGACTTGGTTTAGTTTTTCAGCGACCTATTTAACTTCCGGACGGACCCTGCGAAACCCACCTAGCGGCTGCTGCTTTGCACAATAAGCCAGTCAGCAGGTATGGCGACCGCAGGGAAAGGCCGTGGTCTGACTGATTTCTCAGGCTGTGGTACGTTTCATTGGTTAAGTTTGATTATTAGCATTTTAGATTCTGGTCGAGCACGTTGTTGTCGTTAATGGGTTATTCGTGAAGTATACGCTAATTCTGTGTTATGTTGAGTAAAATAAACAGGTGTTCAATGTAGTATTCATAGTTCCAGTTGTTTTCCGTACAGTGAAAGACTTGTAGTTAGTGTGCCTAGTTTAGTTTTTTTTTTTTTTTTTGTGTTGTTGCTTGGCTGATCTAGACTTTACACAGAAGACTTCTTGTCAGGGTGAGATATTCTGATCTCTCCCCCGCCTAAACGAACTTTTGCCCCCTTTTTTTTTCTTGTTACTGGGGCAGCTTATGGTTATGTTGGCTCCCACTCGCCCCGTGACATTGTTTAGAGCTCTTGTAGTTTCGGAGTCGAGGAGATTTCAAGGAGTAGATTTCCATATTATCCTTTATAGTCATCTCTTCTTCTTTCCTTTATTACAAGGTACCCCCTGTGTTTTGCTTCTATTTCATATTAATAAATCAGCGAATTTTGAAACGAAAGTACATCACTGACAGATCTCAGTTTAGCCACGGTTAGCTGCTGTACGGCAAAGATATTTACTTTTTTTTTTCACTTACTAATAGTTCAAAACCGTCGCAACAGCGAGCTGACGAATCTTAGGGGACAAAGTAGAATCAACAATTTTCTTGAAGCTACAATGTATTTCAATACCTCAAAACATAAATGCGCTCACTCACAAATACGCACGCATTCTAGCACAAAATAGTGCTAAAAGAACTTTTTGAAATGCATTTCAAGTCAGCAGTTATCGTGAATTATTTGAGTGTAAGAATTAGGGCTACAATAAGTATGATTATTTAAATGTAAGAATTAGGGCTACAATAAGTCCGTACAGCCCCAACACCTCAGCGAAGATGAGCATCAGAACCATGGTGGTGTAGACGGCCGGCTGCAGGGCTGTGCCTCGAACGCCCGTGTCTCCAACGATACCTATGGCAAACCCTGACGCCATGCCGCTCAAGCCCGCACTTAAGCCACTTCCAAGGTGAATGAAACCTCTGAAAAAGATCAAGATGGCCATATATTGATATTAGTTCCAGAAACAGAACTGTCACTACATCAAACACATTAAAAAAATCACAACAAATTAATAATATATACTTCTACAATATGTTACATAATCTATGTAATATCAGATAGGCAAAAAGTAAGTTTAGGCGTAAATATCTAATGATTAAGAGAAAAAAGTATATACACATCATGTCTACACATACTGGACTAAAGGGCAATTTCGTAACCGTTTTGTTGCACACATGAACGTCTTCAATACAGGTCAAGTAACAATTTCGGTCAGCTGGAAAACGTAGGCTAACAACAGGTGTGTAGTTTTTCGGAGTGAAGCGAATAGGGAAACTGATTTTTACATGTCCCCACAGTTCCATTAGAAGCAAATGTAGTCTCGCAGCAGTTACTGCCTTCGGGATGTAAAGCATCGGTGCAGACACATGGGAACTCATTTTATATTTACATCTCCCCCCCCCCCCACCCACCCCTCACTCAGGCTCCTATGTTTGTACTAAATGTCACATTACCCAACATTTTCGACTATTGTGTTTGACTTGTACATTTGTTGACACATATTGGGGAGTCTGTAACGGAAATAGCCCAGCTGAAGGTAGTGGGTTCGTTTGAAGGACGCGTCCATCAGTTAACGAGAACCGTTGTTTTTTAAACACAAAACCGTGAGGATCGTCGCAGGGGAAAGGAGTTTCGGCAGGCGGCAGTCCCGTTCTGTGGAGTCAGACCGAGCAATATGAGGTAACTAGGGCAATGAATTTGATCTTATGGACTGTAGCTGGAACTAAAGACTGTAGTTGTAACTTAAGACTGTAGCAGTAATATCTGGATAGTAGCTGTAACCTCTGAAATGCAGCTGTAACGTTTAGACTGTAGGTTTATCTTCTGGACTGTAGCTTTGACTTTTAGGTCAACCTTTTTTGCTCTGATCTTCTTAAAAAGGTCGTTGGCACGTAATGTTGTGGTTTACGGTAGGGCTGTACCCAATGGTGATTTTCACTATTCGGCCGAATACGAATAGCGGGACCAACTATTCGGCCGAATACGAATAGCGTAGGATCATCATCATCATCATCAGGTGCTTTGCCGACTGGCGCCACAATCTGCGATCTCCTGCAGCATGTATTAGTTCGTGTGCTGACACACCTCCATGCCATGCAACAAGACTGTCAAGAATCTTCTCTCGTTTTCTTCCTCTATCTCTCCTTCCACAGATCTTTCCAGTGGTCACTACATGTTCCATTTTCCCTCTTTTCATAACATGGCTGAAAAATGATGACTGTCTCCTTCTGATGTCTGTGATTAGTTGTCTTCGGGCTTCCGTCTCTTTCAAAACCATCTTTCGCTCAGCCGTTCGTTCGATTAAATTTAACCGCACCTATATATTCTCGTTAGCAATATCTTCAAATTTGATTTGGGCAAAGACACCCTGAAAGAACGAAAAAATGCATGATCTCTCTCTCTCTCTCTCTCTCTCTCTCTCTCTCTCTCTCTCTCTCTCTCTCTCACACACACACACACACACACACACACACACACACAGGCTACAAAAAAGAACGCATTGCTTTTAAATATAAGTGCTTACTTGACGATGCTAACAGTTACGATTGTACAGACCACATTTTCCACTTTAAAATTTCATCCAAAATGTAATCACAACCTTACTTATCCGCGGCACCTTCACCAGTACAGATGGAGGATCGGTCGCATGTCGAGATAAATACAAAGACAGTTGTTAGCACGCTGCTTTTGGCAATTTATGCAGTATGATACACTTTGAGTGTGAAACAAAGAAAACAACTCTTTTCGACAGTGGCGAGGAAAGACAATTTAAATTTTAACTTTTAAGTATCTTTACGCCTCCTTTAATAATGTCATAATTTATAGCCGATTGTTCTTGATTTTCGCCGCGGCACCCTTGGCATACGCACCCAGTTTGAGAAGCTCTGCTGTAATGCCTCGGTCGAGTCAGCGGGCAAAGACCTTGTCCGCTGCGACAGACTTAGGCAACAGCAACTATTGTGTTAATGAGAGAGTTATTTCAGTCCATCACAGCGTATGCAGAAATGGGTGTAAGGTAACCACTATTCGTATTCGGCCCGACCGCAAGTATTTGGCCGAATACAGAATAGTTATTAGGTCCACTATTCGGTCTCGAAGCGAATACGAAGCGAATATTAGGTACAGCCCTAGTTTACGGTAAGGCAGCGATATCTGCGCTTTCCAGACAAACTCATCCGATTTTAACAAACGCCTAATTAAACCTAACGTTTGGACTGTAGCTGTAACTTCTAGACTGTAGCTGTAACTTCCGGTCTGTAGCTGTAATGTTTGGACTGTAGTTTCATCTTCTGAACTGTAGCTTAATCTTCTGGACTATAGCTTTGACTTCTGAACTGTAGCTGTAACTTCTAGACTGTAGCTGTAACTTCTGACTTGCGACTGTAACGTCTGAACTGTAGCTGTAACTTCTGGATTGTAGCTTTGACTTCTAAACTGTAGCTGTAACTTATGGACTGTAGCTTAATCTTCTGGACTATAGCTTTGACTTTTGAACTGTAGCTGTAACTTCTAGACTGTAGCTGTAACTTCTGGACTGTAGCTGTAACGTCTGAACTGTAGCTGTAATTTTTGGACTGTAGCTTGGACTTCTTAACTGTAACTTCTAGACTGTAGCTGTAACTTCTGGACTGTAGCTGTAACGTCTGAACTGTAGTTGTAATTTCTGGACTGTATCTTGGACTTCTTAACTGAAACTTCTAGACTGTAGCTGTAACGTCTGAACTGTAGCTGAAATTTCTGGACTGTAGCTTGGACTTCTTAACTGTAGCCGTAACTGCTGGACTGTAGCTGTAACTCATGGACTGTAACTTCTGAACTGTAGCTGTAACTTCTGGACAGTAGCTGTAACTGTTTGACTGTAGCTGTAACTTCTCGACTGTAGCTGTAAATTCTAGACTGCAGCTTTAACTTCAAGGCTGTAACTTCTGGTCTGTAGCTGTAACTTCTAGACTATAGCTTTAACTTCTGGTCTGTAGCTGTAACTTCTGGACTGTAGCTTCAACTCCTGGACTGTAACTGTTACTTGTGGACTGTAGCTTCAACTTGTGGACTGTAGCTGTAACTTCTTGACTGTAGCTTCAGCGTCTGGACTGTAGCTGTAACTTCTGGTCTGTAGCTGTAACTTCTGGACAGTAACTTAAACTTTTGGTCTGTAGCTGTAACTTCTAGACTGTAGCTGTAGCTTCAACTCCTGGACTGTAGCTGTAACTTCTGGACCTTAGCTTCAACTCCTGGACTGTAGCTGTAACTTCTGATCTGTAGCTGTAGCTTCTGGACTGTAGCTGTAACTTCTGGACTGTAGATGTAACTTCTGGACTGTAGCTGTAACTTCTTATCTGTAGCTGTAGCTTCTGGACTGTAGCTGTAACTTCTTATCTGTAGCTGTAGCTTCTGGACTGTAGCTGTAGCTTCTGGACTGTAGCTTCAACTCCTGAACTGTAGCTCTAACCTCTGGACTGTAGCTTCAACTTCTGGACTGTAGCTGTGACTTCTGGTCTGTGGCTGTAACTTCTGGACTGTAGCTGTAACTTTTAGACTGTAGCTGTAATTTTTGGACTGTAGCTTCAACTGCTGAACTGTAGCTTCAACTCCTGGACTGTAGCTTTAACCTCTGGACTGTAGCTTCAACTCCTGGACTGTAGCTCTATCCTCTTGACTGTAGCTTCAACTTCTGGACTGTAGCTGTAACTTCTGGTCTGTGGCTGTAACTTTTTTGACAGATGTGTTGTCCCAATGATGGCAGCGAATTGACCTTATGTTTATAAACATCACATAACAACAGTGGATCTAGCTCAGTGGTCTCCAATCTGGTGCGGAGAAGGGGCCTGAAGAGGTTTCAAGTGGAAAGAGTTGAGGGGGGGGGGGGGGTGTGATGAGGTTTTAAAGGGGAAGGGGCGTCTAGCAGTTTTGAAAATGAGGGTATTTCTACCTGTAATAATCCACTGGATGTTCAGCTTGTAGCAGTCATGAAAACAAAACAGCGCTGCCAGCTTGAAGCGGAGAGTGATCTTCGTTATGCCTTGTCCAACATTAGCCCCCCCCCCCCCCCCCCCCCCCACCCCAAAAAAAGCATACATCAATACAAAACTGTGTCAACCATCACATTGATAAATGGACACTAAATTACCGGTTGTTAGTGATTGTTTTGTTTGTTATTTGACACTTTGATTTATGTAGCCCAATCCCCCCCCCCCCCCACCCCCGGAGTCGCCGTGGCAGAGCGGCTAGACGCGCGCCGCGGATCGGAAGGTCGTGGGTTCGCTCCATGGCGGAGACGGACTTTTCTTCAGAAATGACCTTGGCTCCCAGGTCGACCCAGCCTTGAGTGGGTACCGGGTGCAATCCCGGGAAGTAGAGGCGGCCGGCGTGATGCTGACCACATCACCCATCTTGTGCCGTTGGTCTTTCAAAATATAGGTCTAGCCCTATATGCCCTATACGCCTAAAGGCGTGGAAAGGGTCCTTTACTTTTTTTTTAACCCTCCCCCTTCCCGCCCCCTTTCTAGTGCTTGTTAACGGTGCATTAAATTTTTATTTTTTTTTCTTCTCTTTTTAACCCACGTTGTGCTATGTGGGGCGCTTCTGGGGGTCCTGCCACCTGAAATACTCTGGAGACCAACTGATCCGGCTAGTAAAATACACTCGTTAAGATTTACCCACTTGTAGAGTGTGTAGTCTTCTGAGGAGATGTCCTGGGAGATGATGACCGCCACCACCAGGCCGTAGATGCCCACGATACCCGCCATCACCACCGGAATCACACACTTCATCACCAGCTCAGGACGCATCACCGCCATAGCGGAGACGCCCGTTCCAGATTTAGCGGTGCCATAAGCAGCTCCCAGAGCTGCGTGGAAACAGATACAATATTAGTCTTTACTTATCAATAGAGAAAAGGTTTTTCAAACCTAATAACTGATAAATAATTTTGTGGAAAATATGCTTGGAGAAGACAGGAAAGTATACTTGGAGAAGACAGGAAAGTATACTTGGAGAAGACAGGAAAGTATACTTGGAGAAGACAGGAAAGTATACTTGGAGAAGACAGGAAAGTATACTTGGAGAAGACAGGAAAGTATACTTGGAGAAGACAGGAAAGTATACTTGGAGAAGACAGGAAAGTATACTTGGAGAAGACAGGAAAGTATACTTGGAGAAGACAGGAAAGTATACTTGGAGAAGACAGGAAAGTATACTTGGAGAAGACAGGAAAGTATACTTGGAGAAGACAGGAAAGTATACTTGGAGAAGACAGGAAAGTATACTTGGAGAAGACAGGAAAGTATACTTGGAGAAGACAGGAAAGTATACTTGGAGAAGACAGGAAAGTATACTTGGAGAAGACAGGAAAGTATACTTGGAGAACAGACAGGAAACAGGATACTTGGAGAAGACAGGAAAGTATACTTGGAGAAGACAGGAAAGTATACTTGGAGAAGACAGGAAAGTATACTTGGAGAAGACAGGAAAGTATACTTGGAGAAGACAGGAAAGTATACTTGGAGAAGACAGGAAAGTATACTCGGAGAAGACAGGAAAGTATACTTGGAGAAGACAGGAAAGTATACTTGGAGAAGACAGGAAAGTATACTTGGAGAAGACAGGAAAGTATACTTGGAGAAGACAGGAAAGTATACTTGGAGAAGACAGGAAAGTATACTTGGAGAAGACAGGAAATTATACTTGGAGAAGACAGGAAAGTATACTTGGAGAAGACAGGAAAGTATACTTGGAGAAGACAGGAAAATATGCTTGGAGAAGACAGAAAAATATGCTTGGAGAATACAGGACAGTATGCTTGGAGAAGACAGGAAAGTATGCTTGGAGAAGACAGGAAAGTATGCTTGGAGAAGACAGGAAAGTATGCTTGGAGAGGACAGGAAAGTATGCTTGGAGAAGACAGGAAAGTATGCTTGGAGAAGACAGGAAAGTATGCTTGGAAAGGACAGGAAAATATGCTTGGAGAAGACAGGAAAGTATGCTTGGAGAAGACATGAAAGTATGCTTGGAGAAGACAGGAAAGTATGCTTGGAGAAGACAGGAAAGTGTGCTTGGAGAAGACAGAAAAATATGCTTGGAGAAGACAGGAAAATATGTTTGGAGAAGACCGGAGAATATGCTTGGAGAAGACAGGAAAATATGTTTGGAGAAGACCGGAGAATATGCTTGGAGAAGACAGGGAAAAAAATGCTTAAACGCAGGGGCGCTAAAACAAAGAAAACATGGATATCAATCTGGTTATCAGTCGGGTTCCAGCTTTATGCAAACGTTTCACCCGATAACTGCTCTGTTCATATGTCGTCAGTGAAAACCACAAACAATTTCATTGCTGCCGCATGTAAATCGTCAAACTGACAGCACTCCCGGTAAAATCCAACAGCTTGTGCACACATTAAATACATAATGCAGCCAAGGAAGGGACCAACAGCTATAGCATGTACTAGAATTGTTATTTATAGTTGATAGACGCAGCAGTCTCGACAAACCATTAGGTGCACATGCAAATAATGACACAGGAACAACGCCAGTTATGTGACAATAAGTTCCTCGCCATTGTCTGATTTTGAATTTTAGTAGCACCTCTGGGAGTACAGAAAATAGACATTCCCCATTTGCTTCACAGCTCATGGGATCATACCAGGCAATCAACTCAGTAGCTGGTCGATGAAACAGGATTTTCCTTTTTATCTCATTTGTTGTTCCATCCCGTTTGTCGTGAGGTAGGAGAGAGAGAGAGAGAGAGAGAGAGAGAGAGAGAGAGAGAGAGAGAGAGAAACAATAGAGAGGGAGATCGAGGTAGAGAGGGAGAGAGAGAAACAAGAGAGAGGGAGATAGAGACAGATGGAGAGGGAGAAACAATAGAGAGGGAGATAAAGATAGAGAGAGAGATGGAAAAAAAGGGAGAAACAAAAGAGAGGGAGATAGAGCGCGAGAGATGGAGAGGGAGAGAGATGGAGAGAGAAACAATAGAGAGGGAGATAGAGAGAGATGGAGAGGGAGAGAGAGAAACAAGAGAGAGGGAGATAGAGACAGATGGAGAAGGAGAAACAATAGAGAGGGTGATAGAGAGAGAGATGGAAAGAAAAAGAGAAACAAAAGAGAGGGAGATAGAGCGCGAGAGAGGGAGGGTTAAACTCCAAACTCCCCATTGGATTAGTATGAAGAACAGGCTCCACCAGATCAAGGGGGGGGGGGGGGGTAGACTCGACCAAGAGATGCTAAGTGATTTTACAAGTCTTGTATTGCGCCTCCTTGCTTCACTGTGACCCCACTAAAAAAACATCGGATGTAGCGTATGTACAGGGAAATAAGCCTGGTTTAAGTGCCTAGTAATAAGACGAATAATAAGAATATGTTGAATGTTAGGGAAGGGGTCCTAATGGCTCTAAGCTACGTGGGTCCGGCGCCTCTTGTTGGATCTCGGACATGTTTTATGACATTGACTGAGACCTGATCCGAGAATGGTGATCATGTGAGATTGTGAATCTAAACTGTGACGTGATATGTTGGAAGGGGTTCTAACGCCCCAACAGCCAGCGAACATTCTCCATAATGGTGGTACCCGTTGTCCCCTGGTTGACTGCTCGTCTGCCCCAGTCTCCAGTGGCGCCCAGAGCCTGCAAACACCAACAGCTACAACATTCTATTCTCTCCAAGAACGGCTTTTCAGTATCTTTTACTTTTATGACAAGACAAGTGACAGAATATGTTAAACATATTCACTGCAGCCAAACTGCATTGTGAAGACGGAATCTGACTGATTGACAGCAGAAATTACCACGGGAGGAGGGGGGAAGGTGTAAGGTAATATCTCCACACATTATAGACAGTAACACACGAGGTGAGATGTCCTTTCATTTTTTCTCGCCTTCTTTACCTTCCTTATCATTTATGGAAATTATCTGGACCTGGCTGGGTCAATTTTCTTTTGCTCTGATCGCCCTTAAAAAGGTCGTTGGCGCGTATTGTTGTGATTTACGGTAAAGCAGCGATATCTGCGCCTTCCGGACCAACACATTCGATTTGAACAAACCCCTAATTAATCATCATTTAAGATATTTGTTCTTCGGGAACTTCCGCAACTTTGGCTTAGGCGTTACAAACGTGCTTCGTAATACCGAGATACCCTGTTTGTTTCCAGCGATGTGCCATTTGGTACAAGAACTACTTTATGTAAAACTGCATTGTAGAATTGCAAACAGCTAAAAACAAAAACAAAAACAAACAGACAAACGAAATACTGGGGTTGGTTCTGCAATATTATGTAAGATACTGAACCAACTCATTTGTTATGGAAAAGGGGGTTTAATATCCCCCCCCCCCTTTCCAACCCCCAACGAGGTCACGGAACGCATACGGTGAGTGGGGTTGACCTCAAAGCCCTTACTAGTCAGAAAACAGTCCTGCCACTTCTGTGGGTTGAATCCGGACTACTGAAGAGTTGGAGGGGGAAAAGAGGCAGAAGGAGACAGAGAAAGAAGATGCTGGGTAGTCTGACATCCTGGCATAGGAGATTATATGTGTCTAGAGTGATTGAGAGTACTCAAGACAGAAGATTGTTGGTATACATGACTGCCATCAGCACACAGCGTGGACTGTATAAAGAATAAGAGTCGTAGTTGGCCTGTCTTGCTAGCCCTGTGTTGTGTACAGCAATCAAAAGGTTAATGTAGTCAGTGGTCTAGCTCTTTTACTGTACTTAATAGTGGTTTTTTTTTTTAAAATAACCGTATCGATCGATTCTAACTAATGATCACCGTACCGACAGCCGAGATTGCTAGCCATATTCTCTGCTGATTAACGGCGCTGGAGTCTGACCTTCTGTGTACTTGAATTTGCAAGAAATCCCAGGTGCTACGCTACCTCCCTAACCATGTATGGAAGTTCTCATTATAAACATAGTTTTTTTTTTTTTTTTTACGTTTACTACTATTTCAAATATTTATTTTTCGTGCTTTGGCAATATATATAGCTTAGTATCTGTCTATTTAAATCCTCTCAGACCTTCACCAGCGACCTAGATAAATATCACCTACTTTGTATAAGCTTGTGGTTTATTAGTATTTTGTCATAGTCGTACCACTAACGAGATAAGATGCCTGAGAAAAGCTGCCAATCTTACAATCCGAGATCGAATGAACAATGATACTATCAGAAAGATTGTGGGAACGACACCTTGTACTAGATTCATCGATAAACAGCAGATCAAGTGGTTTGACCATCTCGTTAGAAAGTAGCAAGATCAGATACCATCAAAAGCACGACATCTCAGAAGATCAGCTACAAGAGCACGAGGACGGCCGCAAAAATATGGATCGACAACATGAAAGACACTCTACGCCTTAACATCATGACAATAGCCAGTGGCAGCCAGTGTGAACTGGATCGCAAATGATTCCTTCCCATGTCGTTTAAGGCAGAAACGGTTTATGTTGATGATGATGACGCTTATAATGATGTCATAGTCGTGTACATGATATTATAATGTAGTCATTTCATATTCAGTGTATATTTGTTTGTGTGTTGTCTTTGTCTGCTGATGAAGGCTATTTGCAGCAATGCCTTTGTTTGTTCATTGTGATTGATTTTGTAAAGCTGAAATAAACTATTTGTTATTTCTTACTCTTGTTCTTCTCTTTTCTATAATTTCCTACCCTTAAAAAAAGCTTTTTACTTTAGATAAAGAATTACATTAGCCATTCTGCACATTATTATTATTATTATTACTGTTATTTTTACTATTATTATTATTATTGCGCACATAAAGAAGACGTAATTAGCCCCATATCCCCCCCTACACAAGTATGTATAAGGGCCGATCGCCCCCACCTTTGTTGAATTTGCGTCGACGTCCTGGCCTACAATAGTAAAAGCAGGTTTAATTAATTGTGTTTTTCTGACAGCATTCACCCTGGTTCGGTTTACTGATATAAAATATGGGAAAGAAAGGTGACACGTAACATTCAATCAATGCAGCGCCGCATACACAATACATCTCCAACACAATACATCTCCAACACAATACATCTCCGACACTTCCTGCTTCTCGCACTGATGTTTTAGACTCTCTTTCTTTTGTTCACCTTTCTATATGAGTGAGGCTTTAGGGATGTTCAATGCAGTGTCACTGCTCTCATTGTATTCTTTAGAATCTAGTATGCTTCCTCTTATAATCCATTAAATTGTTTCGTTGGTAGTCATGTTTGCCCGCAGCCTTCTGTCTTGGGTACCTTTTAGTCTGTTCTGACAGATAATTCCACCAGGCACTTATGTCAACCTGCCCAGAATCATCTATCTTGATCTTCCTCAACCAACCAAAGAAAACCTTTCCCGCTTTCAGGATATATGCTAGTCTTCCCCTTTTGGCGATGTGACCAAAGAATATGTATTGTCTCATTCTGGTGCAGTCTGTACAGTGATATAACGGGTCTTCTCTGGATCTCCGGAGTTAGTGCTTTGTGTGACGCTGTCGGCAGGCCGCAGAGAGAGAACAAGCCACAATTGGAACAAATCTGATGCAATGCAGTCGACCATCTTAGTTTTAAACTTTTAATTTGTGACATTTAATAATCAGTCTGTAAATATATTGTCTATGCCAAACCCCAGTTATTTAAAATCAAACGTTACCTGCATAGATTTATTTCTTATAATTGATATGCCGCATTTACTTACCACAAAATGCCATAGATGCAGTCACGCCCATTACTCCGAAAAATGGAGCATAAGGGGGTGCGTTCATGTCATATTCTTGTACCATTTTTAAGTCTAGAGAAATATGCACACAACGATTTATAATATCAACTTGTTTTTCTGAGCTTCTACTAAAATGTAAAATATTAAATCTAATTTCCTCCAAATGTAGTCCTGTTTCTGCTTTTAGTGACTGAAGGAAGACAAAAAACAGAACTTGTATTTCTGCAAGTTCCTGGCCACTGATATTATCAAAAATGGTCAAGACAAAATGTATAGGATGTGTTTGCTACAAGTGGTCACGAGATGTTGAAGATGTAGGTAATGATAAGACCTGATAGATTAATATAGTCCGTGGAGCACTCGAGCAAACAGAAACAGCAGGGATGCTCTGTCATAGTTCTGCACCTCAAGATGTTGGGTAAACATGACTTGCCAGTTAAACCCTGGCTCTCTGATATAATCTATATTGTTAGTTATAATTGCCGAGTCTGCTGTGTTTGTGTGTGCGTGTGTGTGTGTGTGTGTGTGTGCGCGCGCGCGCGTGTTTGTGTATAGATACATACATATAATTTTCTTTCATTATTCAGACTAGATATAGCTGTATTTTCCAGTTTATTTGTTACAGTTTAACAAGAAAAAACGGTTTCAGGACAAATGGTGGCTGGGCCTATATTTATTATAGACCACCGGGCCCTCGATTGGTGATTTGTTGAACATCTCGCTGGCCACATTGACTTCCCATGACATTACACTGTACCTGTTTTAGGTTAGGTCGACCTGGGAGACAAGGTCAGTTTTCAAGGAAAAATATCCGACTGGCGGCATTTATCACAGTGCTGAACTGTGAGTCTGAAATCTTAAAGGTTGCTAGACCAGATCTGGACCCAGTGATGGCAAGTATGATCACCCTATCGGCACCAGAGCCTGCTAGCTATTGAGGTTTTCTATGTGGATGAAGGGCGCCGGGACCTAGGGGTTTGTGCCATTTGAATCTACAAGAAACTCTGTGTCACAATCGGTGACCGAGTCACCCATTGGCTCGCCGGTAGACGACTGTGTCGCCGGTGGGGGGCATTATTTGGTCTGTCTCCTTTGATCGCATCAACACTACAGAAGTCCTTTTCAGGGCACAATCGACTAAATAAATGGTGGCATGCACTGCTAAGCCATTTTATATGGCGCGCATAACCTTGTCACAATTATAACCTAAAGCTCCCTTTTTGGGGATGCTAGCTGAACGTGACGATTGTTTTTCCCAAAACCAGAAGGAGGAAACTGAATCTGAAAAGCGAAGAGAACGGACATACATCCCCGGATTTTATGTTGTATGTTGCGTGTCGGGTTGGTGATGCGCCAAAGTAAATTTGTTCATGTAGCGAGGCACTGTCGTCATTTGGAGGTCACAGGTTCGATTCCCAGTTTGGTAACTTTAGCCCCTCCCCCCCCCCCCCCACCTCTATTTTGTTTAGTGTCTGCTTCTATCTACCCACTTCTTTCTGTGAGTGCCCATAAATACTTGTCTAATTGTTGATTATATACTAGGTCTAGTTTGAATATTGCATAGCTCCTAGACTAGCTGCAATCTTGAGGAGTTTTAACGGAAGACGTTTCAGTAAATCCTAAATATATTGTCTTAAAGAAGGTAACATTCTAACACCGTGAAGCAAAAGCGTTAATGTGATAAGTGGGGCATAGCGGGTTGGCGCAGCACGTGGATGGGGCGCGGGGAAGGTTGGGGAGAGATCATGTCAGTAGAAGCTAACACACGCATGGTGAGTCGTTTAGTACCGAAAGAGTCGACATGAGCACTTCGCCACGGAGGAAATCTTGTTATGTTATAACAGTCGACGTCTTTGCACATTGGTCATCCGTATGCGTGCTCAGTCCGCCAACGAAGCAGCCACTCCAAGGTACCTCTACTGACCGTTTCTCATGAGTAGTTGGTTAAAGTATCTCGAAGACGATACAGATGTGCTTAACCATGCTTAACTCCTAAGTCACGCAGTCGTGTTAACGTCAGAGATTCGCCATTACCCCCTAACCTAGTCCGTACAGTATTGATGATATCAGCTCTGTTCATGCTTCTTCCCGTTTGCATTGATGCATTACTTGCCAGCTGGTCAACTCTTTCATTACCATTTACTCCTGCGGGCCCCGATGTGTAGACCTAGATGATGGAGGTTAACTGTGACTTCCGAAAGCCTTCTACCTGTTCAGATCACAGACTACCTGTAGCCATTTTCTGATGCATGTTTATAGACATAGAAAATCTAAGGCAGCACAGTGGCTATGCTCTTCCTATCCTTTTAAAGATCGGGTTTTGATCTGCCTTGCAGTGAATAATTAATGAAAGACGATGTCTCCCTGTAGATTTAGCCTAAAATGGTACCCCAGAAAATTCAGGGGGGGGGGGGGGGAAGGCGACCGACGTGGTGTGAACACATCACCCATCGAGTGCCATTGGTCTGTTCTTCTTCTTCTTCTGCGTTCGACATCAGTCATGCTAAACATTGAGTCCCCTCTGGGTCACAAATAGGATTGTGCGTTTAAGGTCGCCACCGGTCCCCCATAGCTTCTCTTTCAATGTGGCTCCTTTGGGCCAGATCCACAGTCTTTGCTGGGAGATGTAAGGGCAGTACTGTAGTATGTGCCCAGGGGTCTGTCTTTCTGCTCCACAATCACAGGCAGCAGATTCTTTTATGCCTATCCTGTACAGGTGTGCTCGAAGACCACGGTGTCCAGTCCGAAGTCTAAAAATTGTTGTTTGTTTTTTCCTGTTGAGTTTGTTTATGCTGTCACTCTCTGGTCTGTAATCTCCATTTTGCCTTCTCCACTCTCGCTTGAAAGACTGCTTTAACGCTGGTTTGGTTTCCTTTTAGCTGTGTGGTGGATGAGGTTGTGGAAGATTACTCCCAGCTTTTGCCAACTCATCTGCTCTCTCATTTCCTTGAATACTACAGTGGGCTGGTATCCACTGCAAGACCAGTTCTGCTTTCTTGGAGAGTAAGACCAATGTTGGTCCTTAGATCTGCAATTAGTTTGTCTTGTTTTTTACTTGATAGTGCTTGGAGAACAGACAATGAGTCACTGAGTATAACCATTTTTGTGCCCTCTGTTTCTTGATTGATGAGATGTTGGACTGCAGAAAGGAGGGCAGTTGCCTCAGCTCTGAAGTTAGTGCAGATGTCACCTGCTGGTAGAGAGAGAGAGTTTCTTTAGGACTACATTTGCCTTCTCTGGCTTGCTTGTCCATGGTTCTGGCCCAAGTTTTTCGCCAGTGCTACATCTCTTTCAAGCAGATCTCGGTGCTGTCTGTACAGTTCTCTAGCAAGGTGGTTGGGGCTCTGACGCTTCAGTCTGTTTTTTGTTCTCTCTTGAAATTTAAAATGCAGTGGGTGACTTTCAAGTCTTTTTAATTTCGCATACTGTAAAAGAGTTTTGTATTGTCTTCTGAGTTCGAGTGGTTCAGTGTCTGCTATCCTCTCTATCTCTCTGATGGGGGTGGTTTTCGTGGCTCCGAGAACAATCCTTAATCCCATATTCGGAACCTTGTCCAGTTTTCCCATTGTTGTCCTGGCTGCTGCAGCCTATGCAGTGGAGGCATATTCCATGACTAGCCTGACTGCTCCAGTATATACTTGTTTTAGGATTCTGGAGTTAGCGCCCAATGTGGTACCCGCTAATTTGTTCATCACTGCAAGCTTCTTGAATGCTTTCCCCTGTACTGCTTCTACGTGTGACTTCTACCCCAAGTATCAGTCGCGATATCACCAGTGGGTGAGGATCACGTGGAGAGGTCCCAGAAAGGTAGGATATTGTCAGTCCCTGTGCCAGAAAATAACAAAAAATTACGAGGACGTAAGGATAAAAAAAGCAATTTTTTCCGAGTTATCAAGTGTAACGCTAAAAAGGTTTTCTGATGTTTTTTTATCCAAATTTATATTTTTTTTTTGGGGAGAGAGGGGGGGGGGGCGGGAAAAGAAAAGTGATGCTGTGCTGTTTGAATTATTTAGCCAAAGATACCACTTTTCGGTCCAGACTTCACATTTTCCACAGTTTTCTGTAACAGATATGAGGCTGTGATAGTGTATTCAGAGGCTGTCCAAAGTCATCAGCATGTAGGGTATTATAAACGTGCTGGTGGCAGGTTGTTGTGATATCATTTATATAAACCAGGAACAGAGTTGGTGCTATCGCACTGCCTTGGGGAACTCCTTCTCTTAGTTTTGCCAGTTTGCTGATGTGTCCATCAATTCTGAATCTGGCTCTGCGTTGGAAAGAAAGTCTTTGATCCACTTGTACATGTTGTGCTCAACTCCTGCCTGTAGCAGTTTTAGTTGTAGGCCTTCTTTCCAAACTGTATCAAAAGCACGAGAGAGGTCAAAAAAGACAGCAAGAACTTTTTTTTCTTTCTGGAAGGCATTCTCTATTTCCTGTGCCAGATATGTGAACTGGTCCTCTGTGTTTCTGTGCTGTCTATATCCTGTCTGTGTGGTGGTGATTACAGAGTTTGTCTCCAAGAACCACATTAGTCTTTTATTTACTAATTTCTCCATCAATTTTTCTACACAACTAAGAAGGCTGATGGGTCTGTTGCTTTTTGGGTCTCTTCTGTCTCCACCCTTTTTAAGGATAGCTGGATAAGAGCTTCCTTCCAGGCTGACGGTACCACACCTTTCTGCCAGTTGTGGTTGTAAATGCAGAGAAGAAACTTCTTGGCAGCAGGTCCAAGATGAGAGAGAAATTCGTTTGTAATGCCGTCAGCCCCTGGGGCTTTCATCATTTTCAACTCTCCAATTCCAACTTCCAGCTCTTGCATGGTAAACTTTTCTGACATGCAGGCCTCGGTTGTTTTTGTGCTAGAGTCTGCTAGAAGAGTCTTGTTCTGGTTTCGTACTTCTTTTATTCTTTGCATGGGAATATGAACCTCAGTTTCCTTCTGGTGTGTTTCAGCTAGCACATCTGCTGCTACCTTGCCAGTAACCGCTCTATCGTCTGTTAGGAGTACAACTCTAGCTTTTTCTGTCTTGTCTCCATTCAGGCTTTTTGTGAGATTCCACAGAC